CCAATAAATCCTTTACAGAACGTCGCTCTCTTCACGGAACGCCTGAAAGTATCCTTTTTCCAAGCCAGCTCTCCGGCCTCATGTGCTTTCGATGATAATGCATCTTCAATGTCCTGTATCCATCTTCTCAGTGGTCGATCCCTGCCTCGCCTTCCACAAACTGCACCCTTCATCACAGTCTTTTCCAAGCCACCATGACGCTTGATGTGGCCTAGTTACTTCAACATTTTGGGACAGGATGCTGTTTATAAGCCAGTTCTCCCTGATGTTCAACTCGTTTAGAATTTCTATGCTTTTCCTTTTCTTGATTCATGGTATTCTAAGAAGTTTTCTATTACATTTCAGTTCAAAAGTTCCAATCTTTTTCCTCAGTGAAGTGAGAGTTCAGGACTCGCAACCGTAAATTGCCACAGGAAAAATGAATGGTCTCAAGATTTTTTTCTTTTTTCAACCAGTTTACTAGCGCTTTGCCAAAGGTTCTTTATGCTGCTTAATCTCTGCAATACAAAAAGTCTACTACACACACACACACACACACACACACACACAACACACACACACACAAACATATCTTACTGTCATAACTGCGGCGCGAGGACCTTCTACAATCCAGATGAGTGGATTCATATAGTATCCGAACCAGCATCTGAAGAGAAATAGAATATGTAGATCTACATAGGTATGGACAAAAATTGTTGAAGACATATTGCACAAACAATTTTTTGATCGAATGAGGTAGCTAGTTTTTCTTAGCAGCCTTTAACGACATGCATGGCAGGTTAGTGTTGCTTAGAAACCACAGTTCACATCATTATTAATCCCCCCGTGTGGGTTCCGGGGCCCCATTGTGGGGAAAACAAGAAAAGACCCACTGCCTCCCCAAAAGCATGTCGTAGTCGCTAATTGGGGAGTTTCGGAAGTGCATCTGCCGGAGAGGCAAGAACCAACAGTCTGTATTCAAGAGAATGAGATCTGTAAAACTGATGGCAGGTTCTGGAGCGGGTGTTGCTTAGTGGACGATCAGAGAACCTTTCCGCCAGACCACAGTGGTGAACGCGAAGAAGAAGAAGAAGAAGATCACATCATTATTACTATATACGATGTGCAAAAAATGCACCTGTTTGGAAACATTGAATTTTCAACCTGAGATTTATTTAGAACAGTAGTATGCATTCTTCAACACGTGCACAGAAACAAACAATACGCACACTAACAGATTAAGAATGTACAATTATCCCCTTCTGTTGTAGGCCATCAGTTCTCTTTGTGAGTCAATTTATTTTCAGACAGCTCCATCACGTCTTTTGATTTGTGGAGGGTGTTTTCTCATTTCCCCATAAAAACCACGCGGCTGGCCGAACGGATAACAACGCAGGGATATCACGCGGAAGGCCGAGATTCGAATCCTGTGTAAGGTTAAGAATTTATTTGGGGAAAAAAAAAAAAAATCCTAACAGTAACAGTCCGTGGCGACAGCTTTATATATCTTTAGGCTTAAGCGCACCCCCCCCTCCCCACCACTCGCCTACAACGCAAAAGTGGTGGTTGCATGCAATATTGGCAGGTTGTTTAAAGGCAGTCTACTAAACCACATATCTGCTGGTCAATCTAAATGCGTGTACATGCTCTAATAGTTGGAATGGTCTATATAAATACTGATACAAAATAATTAAGAACAATTATGAAAACGCAATTCCTTACCTCATGTCATACATTCTCGACAAAGGAATTACCCAGGCTATAGTCAGTAATACTGGGAAGCCTGCAAAAGAAAGTAAAAAAAACCATGTTTAGATATCTTCAGTGGTTTAATATAGAGAAATCACTTATCCATGGCATTGGAGTCATTCTATAACAAGCTAATCTGCTTGTTTTCTAAGAACTAATTCATGTCTTAGACAAATGTTAATGCGATGTCCCATCTCCGACTCAACATATTAGTGGAATGTCCCGTTCACAGCTCAAAATATTAGTGGGATGTTCCGTCTTCAGCTTACATTGTAAGTGGAATGTCCCGCTTTCAGCTCAGAATAGTATTGTCACCCTAATAGTAGCCCGCCTGCCGATCCATAGGTGTTAATTTCCAGTCTGCATTAAGGGGAAGTTGTATAACTGACTGTCATATTGACCTAGCCTAAAACTGGTATTAGAAAATGTCTTGGGAATCAATAGCGACCTGGGTGATGTTAACTACACCGTCTATTTAGTGCCAATTTTAAAAAAAAAAGTGAAGATCCCTTTTCACGCGTTAGGCGCATTGGGTATATGGGAAGTTAAGTTAGTTGCGTATCCTTTACAGGACGTTGCAGAACCAACCCTAACAGCCCCTGGCTGTTGTGTGGTCTCGGTAGGCAAATTTACGTCCAGTAGTTTGCAATATCTTCTGGACGGTCGGCTTTCTTGATACCACTGTCGAAACCAACATATGGGAAGAGCATCCCATATTTTTACAGACCAATCAGCACAGACCATACACTATAAAAAAACTAGGTTAGATTATCCGATGTAACAATGGTGTGAAAGGGCCCATAACCTTTTGTTTAGGTTCATTATTAATCTTCGCCCGGCTCGCTAGCGTAGTTGGCTAAACCGGACTGCGCGATGACCGGGTGGCGAACCCCTAGTGGTCCGGGTTCACGCATCGGGGAAGGCAGAAAAGGCACATTTCTCCCAGATTTACGGTATTTATCATGGAATCAAGGCCCAAGGGTTGCGATATCCATAATACAGAGCCTAAGGGTTAACAAGGCTTCTGAATACTTAAAAAAAAAAGTATATCTTTCCTCACGTGGTTAATAGTGTCAGCATTTATCAAAGACGAGTACTTAAAACTGAGTACTTACAATCGTTTGCACGTTGTTTTGTGCCCAGCTTTATCTACGCGCCACAGGACAGACATTCATACACACACAAGCACACAACATACACAGCTTTATACACCTTTTAAAAATGCCCATTTAGAAACAAATTTGAAACTCGATGATAATAATAATTTAAAAAAAAAGTAAAAAGTAAAGTTCCCTTTTCACGCCTTTCGGCGCATCGGACATATGGGCAGAGCTTCCCATATTTATACAGACCATCAGCACTCTGTGGGTAATGTGGTCAGCATTACGCCGGCTGTCTTTACTTTCCCAGGACAGCCCATCCTGGAACCCATTTTAGGCTGGGTCTACCTGCGACGTCCCATACCACGATAAAAATCCACGTAGCCTGCAGTGGGTTTCGATCGCGGTATGCTGGCTTACGAGTCGGACTCGCAACGCCTTAGCCTCGGACGCCGCAGATGATAATAGATGAAAGTATGTCACAAGACCCCGCTATTCAGCAGCATGTTTTAATGGTAGAAAACATTGATTATGAAGTAGGGAACACTTCAATTACACAATACTTTTATAACGTCCAAGGGGTCTTTCGTAATATCCTACACACAGATAACGTCACAGGACAGTCTAGCAATTTAGAAGGTGGTAGGACTGGGTTTACTCGATTTTTGATGATTTAAAAAAAAAAGTAAAGGACCCTTTCCACGCCTTTAGGCGTATAGGGCATATAGGGCTAGACCTATATTTTTATAGACCAACGGCACAAGATCGGTGATGTGGCCAGCATCACGCCGGCCGCCTCTACTTCCCGGGATTGCACCCGGTACCCACTCAATTTGATGCTTTTAACGACCCCAAAACATAAAGAACTAGCCCTAACCCCAACCCAGTTACGTCCCTTGAAATAGAGCAACCTAGGTACCACGACTGCATGCAGTCTACTACCACCCCCTGAAATATTAAACTGTCCCGTGACCTGTGGGTTTCCCCTGTTTGTGGTAGAATATTAAGAAAGCACCAGTCTAAGAAAGCCACAGCCATTTAAACCTTGGGACGTCTGCAAATTCAGTGTCGACGTCTGCTGTGTCGGAAAGATTTTTTGGATGTATTTGCATGCCCCCCCCCTCCCCCCCCCCCCACCCCCCCCCCCCCCTCTTTCCGAAAAAAAAACGTATTTTCTAATATTTGTAGATATTTTGGATGACAGCCTTTTGTGACATCGAAAATTAAAATGATAAAGGAATGAATTAATAGAAACACCGACGCAAAGCATAGGCCCAATAAGCTACAGATTCTTTATGACCTAACAACCCCCCCCCCTCCCCACCCCACCACCCCCCTCACAAAAGAAGTTTTCTTTTAATATTTTTTAAGTTCATAAAAATGTTAAGCAGATTATATAATGACATTTATGTGACTTTGCAAACACATTTTTATTTATTTTTCATAAAAGTCACATGATAATATATTTTCATTATCCATATATTTGAAAAGGCGTAAATATTGGTAAGTTTTCGGAGAATATCTTGTGTAATTTAAAACGGTAGGGGCCTCAGGGACTGTATATATATATATATATATATATATATATATATATATATATATATATCTATATATATATATATATATATATATATATATATATATATATATATATATTATATTATATATATATATATATATATATTAGGGTCGTATCAGTCTAAATCCGGCTCTGCTTACGTTTTTTTATTTTTCTTCTTCGTTGTCTTTTTTTACTTCTTTTTCTTCTTCTTTTTCTCCTCATCTTCCTCTTCTTCTTCTTCTTCTTCTTCTTCTTCGTCTTCTTCTTTCTCTGCTCCTGGAATGCCTCGGGGTGTCAGGGCAGCAAGATATCTTTGGAACGGGTCCTTCTGTTCGCTTCGTATTAAGTACTTTTTAGTGTCTCTGATATTTCTGCGGTCCATGTTCTGCGTGGTCAACCTCTGGGTCTATTACTGCTGTATCTGTACAACATTGCTCCCTGTGGTCCCCTGTCAGATGTCAATCTTGTTACATAACCAGACCATTTGATTTGTTGTCATCCTGCTAATGTTAGTACTGGTTCGGTACCGACTTTCCTCCTGATGTCATTGTTTCTAGGTCGATCTTTCCTGGTTACATCTGGCATAGAACGTAAACATTTCAGTGTACCCTGTTATGCATGTCGTAAGAAGCGACTGGCTTCTTTATCCCGTAAACAACTGTAGGTGCAAAAATCTGTTATTCAGTCAAGAAGAAATGCTCACATGGACTGGCGTCAGATTGTTAAGGGTTAAAGTTTTATTATAAGGTAAAAAGCAGTAGCAGAGCAGCGCCATATTTAATTCTGGTATCTCGTGAGTTACACAACCGAGGGAGAGACACCGGAAGCGAGTTCAGAAAAAGGGAGAGGTGAGGTGGGGGGGGGGGGGGGGGGGGGGGGGGGGGGGGGGGGGGAGAGGTGAGGTGGGGGGGGGGGGGGGGGGGGCTTTGCCTAAATTAAACAATTTTTTAGCGTGGGGAGTTGTTTCATCCACCCCTTCCCCACATCTCTCTCTCTCTCTCTCTCTCTCTCTCTCTCTCTCTCTCTCTCTCTCTGTCTTTCTCCGTGTTGCAAGAGGGTTAAAGGTCCGCCCCTAACCTCGCAAAGAGGTTCTCTTTTCAAGTACATGTTTATACATTTCATATTGTTCTCAGATAAGTTGTTATATTTATTTGTGATTCAGCACACAATATGGATATTAATAATAATATTTACTATTATTTTAACGCACTTCAACAAGGCTATGTAATTTGAACCCACCACCACTCCCATAAATTTATAAGGGGGTGAGACATCTGAGACGTGTGTTACCAATGCACACAGGTGTGTACTTGCTGACAGCTGTTGCTCTCATATAATCGCCAAACGTAA